TTCTGCTTGGTCCATTGGGGTGTCTTGGATTGTTCGGGGTCATGCAAAAAATGTAAATTTTCAAAATGGGTACCTTGGATTACCATGCATGTATGTGGCTTGTTTTGGCTTTGGGGGTTAGGTTATGATGGCACTGTGTCCGTTGACCTTTTTCATATGTTTGTTGTGTATTGACTTTGATTCGATAATCATGTGCATTGAAATGATTTTTGTGGGTTTTTGTGGACAGCCATACATCAATTAACAGTTGGGTTACTGGTTTCTTTGTATTGTATTATCTTTTAGTTATTTGCCGTTGTTTACTTTCATCACTTAATTTTATGTTAATTAATTGTTGTACAATATGTTTCCTTTTTATTTTATTTTATTACTTTTATCTCGTAAGTGTTAGTTTCTTTAGGCCACAATTTGATGCTAATGTTGGTGATTTTAGTCTCAATTTTGTGTAATTCCATTTCATTTTACCGTTCATGTTTTTCTTGAATGTCTAAGGCAAATGGAAAACCTAAGCTATTTTGATGGGTACTTGATAAACATACCCAATAGATCAGTGCTTTTGAAAACAATTCCTAAGGTAGAAAAGTGGACTGAACTTTGAATATTTTTTAATGATGATTGCAGCTTTTAGAAGTTAGATTTCTTTTGTTTGCTTTTGTGAATTATATTCATCAGCTTTATGCTTTATTCAGCCATACAAAGTTTCTAAATTATACTTCAAAATCAATATTACTGTCGTCAGTAATTCTTGTACCTTAATCCTTCCCATACAGGAAAACTACTCTAGTTCAAGAGAATTGATAGAGAAGGGATATAAATGTTAGTTTCCTAAGTTAAAATAAGTTGGTAATATGCATGTAATACTTACTAATTATGTGAACTGTGATAATGTATATTGTATAGTAAGATATATGAATTCTACATATCAAATTTGATGTGGTTGATTGTGATTAATGAAATGCTTTTCTTTTTCATTCTGAAAAGGGCTTCTGGGGGTTGGTCGGACAAACATGGCTTCTAGTCATCCATTCTTTGATGATATCCGAAGCAGATCAAGCGTCGATCCTCCTCAAACGGAAGAGCCAACTGAAGTTGGTGAACTTGTGAATGAGCCTCTGCAGACTGCCCTTAAACCTCACGGGACTGTTACAAGCAGTGTTCGCGAGCTGTTAGAGTGCCCTGTGTGTTTAAATGCTATGTACCCTCCAATCCACCAGGTTTGTTTTTGTTGATGTTAATTGCTCTGATTTGTTTGGTTCCTAACATAACATGTGGTTCTAATTTAGTAGTACTGGGGTCAACTGTGCTTTGATGCTTTGATTTATGAAAATGATTGTGATGTCCTATTGACTTTTGAAAACTAGGTACTTTGCCCTTGATTTTGTTTCATGATTTGCAATGTTTCGCCTTTTTCTATGATTAGGTGTGAATTTAGTTCTCATGATTTGAACAAGCTTATGTGCAAGTGACTTTTGAATGGAAAAAATAGCTTGAAAGGGTTTCTTATTATGCCAAGTATGGAGCTTGGATCACCTATGTAACTGTTTGCCATGCATTTTTTTCCTATGTAATTGTTGTGAAAAACACTGTATATGGTGCTTTTGCTTGTCTAACTTTTTAGAGTTAACCATTGCTTGTGAAAAACTATTAAAATTAGAGGACTTCTGAAGTAGTTTTCCAAACACATGTCATTGAACTAATTGCGATTCAAAAGTAATCCCCTCCTCATGTCTATAGGCTGATCTATGTGAGATGATTGGATATCTTCAACTGTTTTTGGTAAGATATGAAGAAATTTGGATTATACATGCTATGGAAATGGATGATAAATTAGGGGTAATATCTCGTTTGAAATGTCAAATAACTAAATCTGATTCATAAGTTTCATGTCATTTCAAATAAATCCATTGAACTTCATTTAGAGGATGTGATACTCTCATGCATGGAACAAGGATGAAAGCACATTTTTAACTTAACAAGGACTCAGTGGTGTTTGTCATATGTATCTCCTGGAATTTATTTATGTTTCTTTCAACTCAAAATAATCATCCTTTAACAATTTTATAGCAAAGAACCTTTTTAAAATTTGCATAACAGCATTTGCTTTGTTGATTATTGTTGCAGTGTTCAAATGGTCACACTTTATGCTCTGGTTGCAAACCCAGAGTCCATGATCGGTGCCCTACATGTAGGCACGAGCTTGGCAATATCAGATGTCTGGCACTAGAAAAGGTGGCTGCATCATTAGAACTTCCATGTAAATATCAAGGTTTTGGATGCATGGGCATATACCCATATTACAGCAAGCTAAAGCATGAATCTCAATGTGCATTTAGACCTTATAATTGCCCATATGCTGGTTCAGAATGTTCAGTTATGGGTGATATACCTTACCTTGTGACCCATCTGAAAGATGATCATAAAGTGGACATGCACAATGGTTGTACTTTCAATCACCGTTATGTCAAAACAAATCCACAAGAAGTCGAAAATGCCACGTGGATGTTAACGGTAATGTTTTGCCGAACTCCCTTCTCTATTCCTTTGTCTTGTTATTATTGGTTTTTATTTGTTGTGACTGACTCATAAAATGATGTGGTTCTTTCTGTATGATGAGTCTTTCTCACAATCTCATGATTTCAATTAAACTTTAACCAATAATAATAGTGTGTTTTTACTTGTTAGCAATCCTGAAGGATCCAGTGATGAAATTGTGTTATTTTCAGCTGTGTTAGTATGTAAATAACCACATACGTTTCTCTTCGTCAGCAGATACCTTGATGGGAGCATAGAATTGAAGTAAACTAAACTAAACTAAATCACCATTTGTAAATTTCTTATGCTTCAACAAGAAAAGTCATTAGATTAATGTTTTTCAATCTTGCAGCATATCAAACTTGTGTTTAACATTTTGTATAGCACCACAACACAACATAACACAACACAATACAACACAACACAATACAACATAACACAATACAACATAACACAACACAACAAAACACATCACAACACAACACAACACAATTTGCTTTCATATAGTGTAGATTTGTGCAAAACATGTGAACACTTAGTTGATTTTGGAGGTGACTTTTGTTTGTAGGTTTTCAGTTGCTTTGGTCAGTATTTCTGTCTACACTTTGAAGCTTTTCAGCTAGGAATGGCTCCTGTCTACATCGCCTTTTTGCGGTTCATGGGGGACGACAATGAGGCGAAGAACTACACGTACAGTCTGGAGGTGGGTGGAAATGGGAGGAAGATGATTTGGCAAGGGGTGCCCAGAAGCATTAGGGATAGCCACCGCAAGGTTCGTGACAGTTTTGATGGTCTCATCATTCAGAGGAGCATGGCTCTTTTCTTTTCTGGGGGTGACAAGAAGGAACTGAAACTACGAGTCACTGGGAGAATTTGGAAAGAGCAGTGAACAATGATGACCTATTTGTATTAGCTACATTAGTTTGTAGTGTACCTATTTCTTAATTCTTTTGTAGTGGTATGGATCTTCTGTTCATGTATTGCATTTTGTAATTTAGGTGGCAACATCTCTTTGCTTAGCTCTAGATCAAATACATGAACAAGAAGGCTCATTATGATATATTTTAATATAGATGTGTAATCTTAGCTTGCTCCTATCTTCTGCATTCTTCCCACTCTATGCTGCAAAAGGCACATGCTTTCTACTCATATTGCAGGCTCTTCCGTGCATTTGATCCTTAAGGTCTTAAAAGTTTTTTAGTTCCTGATTTTATCTAAAGGTCATGAGGTACCAGGCTGCTAGAAAGGGAAAGAGAAACGAAAGGAAAAGAAACAATCAGAGGGAGAAGAGAAATCAGAAAACTTAATATTATTGAAAAGAACTAAAAAGGTTAATGTGTATATTGTATTTGATATACTATGTGAACTTCTATTTAACAAGAAGGAAAAACAAAAACGAGAAAATGGGGTGCTGCTAGGCTATACTAGTGTTATGAGGCTGTGTTGTCGATGTGTTGGGCTGTGCTACCGAGTTATCGCCAAGATTCTTGATGTGAAAGGTGAAATGTAAAAGAGCAGTGAAGCATTGGATTTCTTTAGTGTTGTTGTCTATAACAACAATATCATCAATATAGGTGAGAATGGTGGTAAGAAGATAACCATTATGTTTTAGAAAAAGAGAATACTTCCATGGGATGTGTTGTATTGTAGATTGGACGGGTTGAACCACTTCCTAGGTTGTTTTTGTTCTGCTGTTCAATTTTTACATCTTTTAAAGTCCGTTTAGATGATATTTACAAAAGATATTATTATGTTAAAGTTAGTATGACTGCTTAGTTAGTAATCAATGCTATGTGCATGTTATTTTAAAGTTATATCTTAGACTTTTATATATAATAGTTTACGTAGATTTTTACCTTTTTATTGATCTAATCACGATTAAATCATGTCTGTATTAAGAAATTTATTTATTATTATTAATAGTCATTTTATAACTGATTGATCCAAAGTGAATGACGTAGACAAGTTAGGCAAAAGAACTATGTTTGAGAGTGATCGATCTTAGTCTAGAGTAGATAATTTCGATCCAAAAAAATTTAGACTAAAAATATTAGTTAAAGAGTAATCCACTAAAGAGAACTCGCAAAACGAGTCTACGATAATATATATATATATATATATATATATAACTAAATAGGATATTCACAATTGTGTATATTATATTAAAAAAATAAACATTTGCAATTTATGGTATAAAAGATTAAAATAATAATTATTTTCAATTTTTTTTATATTTATATTTTTTATATAGTAATTAATCATATTAAACCTTACGAAATATACAACCCTTTTATTTTTTGAACTACCCTCTAACTATAATCATTTTAACCATCTCCATTTAAGGGCATTGTCCTAGATAAATTGTTTTCTTCATTTGGCATTGAATAAAAAAAATTATGTTAAAATTCGACCAAACAAATTTTTAAAATAAAATAAAAAGAAAAACATTTCATGTTATGTAAAGTAGACTATTATCGGTGAACAAAAACGTCATTCAGAGTTTTATAAAAGTGGTCGCTAGCTTCTCTGTAACATTAGCCGTTGCTTCCTCTGTTCGAATCCACAGCAAGAGAAGAAGCAGAGACATGAAAGCCCCTTCTTCTCTTTTCCTCAAAGGCCACGTCTTTCCTTCCTCTTTTTTTCTCCTCACAAACAGCCAACGTAAGTAACGCTTCACTCCTTCAATTTTGTTTAGATTTGTTCCAGCCCTCATATCTTAATCGAACCATTTCATGCTATAACTATTGCTGCAATGAACTTGAATCTGTTATTTTGTTGGGTTAGTTTGAGTTAATACACTTTAAAGAGTGTTGTTTGCTATTGGGTACATAATGCAGGGACACCTAATGTAAAAATGCACCCCATGTTGTACTTATGTAAAGCCATCCAAACTAATTCATATGAAATTTCCAATGGAAGCTATCATCCCACTGTTCAACACCCAACAGAAAAAAATACGATGGTATGTGATTATGTAGTATGAGCATATTGCTTAAGTATTATGTATATTTATGTATGTATGTGTATATTCCTTTTAATAGTGTCTTTGTGGTAATTTGGAAGAAAGATTTGCTAGTTTTACTGTTTGAAGGGATTTTTGAATTAGGAGAAGCCATCTAGGAAAACTGAATCTATTGGGGCATTTCAAAAGTTGCCCATAGTGATGCCATCAATTGACATTCTAGGATCCGCATTGAGAAAGGCGAGGAAGGTTTCTCCAACGAAAGGTACTTGGCTGAAATTATGTTCTTCGGTTCCTGGTTGATATTTGTGTTTACATCTTAAACCCTATGGTTGACATTGACTTTTAGTTTGCTTAAACTTTAGGAATTGCCAACATTGCGAAAAGGGAGAAAAACAAGGGTGCAAAGCAACTTGATGCATTGATGAAAGTATGTTTTTCACTTCTGAATATGTCATGCTTTGAGCTATAATTTGTATGCCAGTTTCTACTGTCCATTTTATAGGAAAAAGAATGTATCATAAGTTAATAGCGCAACTCTTGTTAGGAAATTGCTGTCCCCTTGAGGACCTATGTGCAGAGTTTTCCTAACAAAACATATCTTCATCCTTATGAAAGATCTCTGATTGAGCTTACTCTTGGAGATGGATACTATGAAATGGTATGTTAGTAAAACAGTCTTGCAGTACTATACATGTTTTATAACTTCCACTAGTGCATTCCCTTTGTTATTACATGACATATAATAGTCTTATCATTATTTATCATTCCCAATGCTGCATGTATACATATTCTTGGATAATGGCTGCATTCATATAAATTGTTATTTTAGACTTTGTCTAATTTGTTTTTAAATATTTTTTACAGGTGCTACAGAAGGTAGATGGTTTAAGGAAGAGAGTAGTATCTGTTGGAAAGGAACATGCTTCACTTTGTGCTAAGGTTTATTTAGTAATTTACATTTGATCTTGATCTATTTCTTCGCTGGGTAATTATGTAGTTTTCATCATGCTGCTTGAAAGTATTATTTTATATGATATTTAGGAAGCCTTAATAGCAAAATTTGGAATATTTTATGCCAGGTCTTGATGTCAATACTAATTTGTTCTTGTTGAAGGTATGGAATTTTGTCTTCCCCAATGGCAAGATTTTATGCTATTTAACTTTTTTCAGAAAAAGAGATTTTTATATAATTTTTACAGTCTTCACTGCTTCATTATTAAAGTATGAGGTTTACTTATGTCACTATCTGTACCATCGTGTCAGCCTCAGCCTGTTACTTTTATGAGTTGAATTCTTTCGGATGGACTGTTCCAATGTCTCTTTACGTTATCATCTTTTAAATTGGTGATTTCTCTTTTTATCCTTTGCTTTGCTAACATAATTGATTTATTTCATCTTGTAACAGTCTTCATCAAAGCGAGAAGCAGAGGAAAGGTTGAGTGAGGTGAGGTGTAGATCTTTTGAGGAATCATCTGCTTCCCAATTTTTCCGAAGATTTCAGTATGCACCATGATTTTATGCAGGGTCTTAAGAAAATTGAAGAGGTTTTTGCTCAAGAAAGAAAAGTTGTTGATGATTTGTTAGACATAGCTAAGGTATTCTGCATTTTCAGCAAATGAAATACTTAGGTTTTGACTGTGTTTTCTACAAACATACATATCAGGGTTCACAATTTGGGTGACCTGTGAAATTTAATTTTGTTTTCTCAAATAATAATCCATCAACTTAGTTTATATCATCCAGCTGATAATGATAAATGTTACAGACTCTCAGAGCAATGCCAGTAATCAATTTGGAAATGCCAACTCTGTGTCTTGTTGGAGCTCCTAATGTAGGCAAATCTTCTTTGGTCCATGTACTCTCTACCGGCAAGCCTGAGGTATGCAACTAAATGCTATAATAATTCTTTGTTAAAACTGCATTAGCCTCTTTAAAAATCTGGGCTTGAATGGAATTGTTTATCCTACTAAATATCCTATCCATGTTTCCAATAAATGTACGTCTCTTTAAATTTCCTCCTTATTGGTGTGCCTAAAAGATTAAAAATACATGCGGTATCAATCACGATACAACCACCTTGGTTTTAATTGTAACTAAAGGATAAATATTTCTATATTGTTACTTGGTTGATCTGTGACCATTCCCAATGATTATGTGCTTGTGGTTCAGAAATGTTCGAGTGCCTTATGTTATACTTGTGCTTTTTCTTTCTCTTGCTCTCGAAGGAATGATTTTTACTAGACTGTGAGGTAACTTTGTATATATAATTTCCCTAACTAATCATATGTACAGTGAACCGATACTAAACTAAATTAAATCTTGACATATGTTGCTTCAAGCTTAAGCAAAACTTGTTAGTTGCTGAGTATTTATAGATTCCATCATCCACACTATTTCTCATCCTTTCTCCTTTGCTTCTACCTAAAATTTCAGATTTGTAACTATCCCTTCACAACAAGAGGAATTCTTATGGGTCATATTATTTTTAACATTACGAAGTTTCAGGTTAGCAAATTTGTGAATTTTTATTTTGTTTTTAGAATTCTTTTCTCATTGTGAACTCCATATCATGCAATTGTAATTTTATACCTTGCACATCTGTAGGTTACAGATACTCCGGGCCTGCTGAGGAGGCATGATGGTAATTAACATTTCATTTGTTTATATCAGTTTTCTAGTTGTCCTGATTTTTCTTATTTGGTGAATGTTATATTTCCGAAGTTTTTCTTGGAGAATTTTTTTAGTCCATTGGTTTTAGGATCAGTTTTCCTAAGAGGAGGGGTATGGTATATATTATAATACTATGGGTTGTTGGAGGATCTTAGA